ATGTGCTCCATAAACTGATTCACTGGCTACTATCACTTGAGGAAGTTTAGTGCTGTACTTTTCTACAATTGTTTCCAGTGAAAGGGCTCGTTGAACTGGTTCATAAATTGCCATGACTATAATGAAGTTACGTTTAGTTTACACAATATATACATGCACTAAAAGAACAACGAAAGTGGGAACAACAATAACAGTGAATAAGTCACATATTTTCCCATCTTGTAAGGAAAACTTTAAAGTACGTGTCATTATGCTATTTTATATTTGTATGATCCACTCAGTAGACAAGTTATAGAAACATTGAGTTCAGGAAATTATTTTACATGCAGTGCAACGTACTGATATGCAACTGTGACAAATGGTATATGTTCACACAATATCAGGGCCACAGAATAACAAAATTAATGATGATATACTAAATGACAATAGTACATCCACTCTACTTAATTTCATTGTTATCCATTGGCATTATCAGCAGAGACTTGTCTATGTTCACAAACATGAGATTCTGAATAAGAGGAAAAAATTGTTTTTCAACAGAAAAACTAGTTGCTTTCATTTTCAGCTACATCCACTATTGGTCTAGGTTTCTTGTTATAGCTTGTGTAATGAACTTTATATACTCACCACTTATGCATGTACATGCATTGCAACTATTATTATGTTAATTTATGTAATATATTGTACATCTCATGCTACTATGCATACACTATTAAGCACTTATTTTGCAGTCAGTTAGATGTACCATCTCTTTTTTATTCCTCAAAGGGTTTAGAGTGTCTCCCTAAGACAGGTGCTACTGCAGTGTCCGTAAAGATAAAGCAAGCTGCTAGCATCAATCAATCTTGGCATTTTGATATCAGCACTGGTTAAATTAAGGTAAAAGCACTCACATACCATACAGGAACCAAAAGAGTACATGTACATGGATCTGATGTTTTTTTTAATACAAACCCGATACTATGGAAAAATTATCATCACCAGTTTATCTGCTGATGTAAGAACACAATCATATCATTGTTACAATCATATTACTGTGCAATATAGGGTCATTTTCACAAACAATTGATGCAAATAGCTGAGGTATTGTTGCACCTACTCAAATCATATCTGCTTGTGTACACACATTAAAGGCCTTTTCACACTGGCACAAGTAATGCGCATTGATGCGCATTAATTGTGTTCACACTGGAGTGGTTTTTAATTGATGTGCATCAGTCTCACTTCACCTCCAGAGGTGGATTGATGTGAAGTGATGCGCTTCGATCAATGTAAACCAATGGCAACAAGAACACAAAATGATACATAATTCAGCTGCTAGTGTGAACAAGATCAATGCGCATTATTTCAGCTGTATCAACAAAGCGCCCAAAGTGCTTTGAAAACTGTGCCAGTGTGAAAAGGCCTTTAACAACCAAATGAAATACAATTAGCTTCACATATGTATTAACAAGAGTGGATAATTATAGTTATCCACTCTTGGTATTAATTATACAGTTTGTTGATTATTAATAATAATAATAATAATAATAATAATAATAATAATAATAATAATAACAATAATAATGAAATAATACATTTTCTGGTACAATGAATATTTGTATGTAGTTAAAATTCACTCCATTGTTATTATTTTGTGCAGTACTACTACATTCCTTTTGCTCAGCTCAGTGAGTGGGCATGTCTTTGTGTTCAATCAGCGTATCTCCTTGTTTGGTAGGCATCTCCTTTACTTCAGCAATCCTTTGCACTGTGTTCTTATGCTTTGCACTTTCTATGACAGACGTTTTGATTAGCTTCCTTTGTTGTGGTTCCGTCTTCATTTTCATTTTTTTTCCGCTGCAATGTTTCTTAAGACTATTATTAGGCTCTTTTTCAATGTCAGTACTAAATATATATGGAACTATTCCAGATATAATAAATATTTCTAACATATTCTTTGGTTGCTTCAGATATAGTAGCACAATTGGATTTGTTAAAAGAATAAGAATCATAATAATGAATGAGAACCATTGATAGCATATGCACTTTCCATTACATTTTTTGATATGCTGTATGATGGTGTAATTCACATTTAGTACAATCCACACAATGACAGACATGATGACCCATCTCATAGCCAGTTCTCCCGTTGCTCCTGCTATATTGAAATTAATAGCAAGACAATATATGTCCTCATCTAGTTCCTGCTTTTCTATAGCAGTTAATTCAACTATTGTGTCATTATCATAGAAACACTGCAACTCGATACTAGTTGCTGAAAATGGGTTGTTGTTGTTTTTATACGTTATTAAAATATTTGCACACAATACATATGTTACTTTAACAATACTCCAACACACTCCCCAGAAGACTCCATAAATCGAATAATCTTTAAGTACAAACCCAAAAATTACAATGTTGTTACCATTCCTTTTGATATATGGGAAAATGATCCTCACTATTTTGTCTGGTTCAATAACACAGCAACTTACCAATATTACTGTGAATACTGAGATGGCAGCAAGGATTACTGGTGCAACTAAGAAACTTGTAAAATATATTGAAGAATTCATCTCTACTTGTCACTTTCCTTCTTTCTACTTGCAGTTACTAAGTCAGATGATTGTGCAATGACAGTAGCTAGCTATATTGCATTGCTGTGGTACTATTGCTGATGCAGCTACCCTCACACACTGAGTCATTATTATCATCATTATTGTCACTTATTTTGTGTCTGTAATACAACAGGTTATTATTAGTATTACTATTATTACATCTATTTATTTATAGTTATGTCAGATGTCTATTGATATCATTGAACTAAGGAGAAAGCTCTTAAACTACTATAGCAATTCGAGTGTGGGATGCTATGAGTGCTGGCTAGTGACAGGCAAGGCTGGTTGTTGCGCCCAGATAGAGAAATCGCTTTACCTTGTGTTGACACCCAAACATTGATCTTTAATAACACAGCAAGCAATATATATACAAAATAAGATCATGAATATTTATGAATTCTGTGACGTCACTACACTACCTCATTCTGATTATTCAGTCCAGAATACTCAGACACTGCCTTTATTATTATTGGCACACAATCCTTCATTCAATAAGATCAATCATGAATCACTTCTAACATTCACAGGGTCAGTTATACATTATATGTACGTGTTAGTGTGGTCATGACAACAGATTACAAACACTCAGATATGCTGATGCGTCGGAATCAATGAAGATTCAAAGGATGCGTGTTTCAGAAAGAAAATAGAGAAATTAAAAAAGATGCTAGCAGAGAAAGATAGAGAGAAAGAGGAAGACAAGATAAATCAAGAGAAAAGGAGGCACAAGGAATGAGGAATTTGTGGGCCTCTTGTTTTTCTACTTTTATAGAGTTATCGGCAACTTCAATGTCTCCAAGAGAAATGGCTGAACTAAAAAGCAAATTGAGGAAGAAAGAAAGAAACTGCTCACTGGGAAAGACGGAAGATATAAGGAAAAAATGCAACAAGAACTAGAAAAGAAAGAAGACAAACAGGCCAAAGCGCAGTAAGCACAAATATATTTACATAAAAGAATACATGTAGATGTACATTTACACATATACATGTACATGTACATGTAAACAGACACACATGTACATTGTGTATACATGTAACTCTGAATACTCTGCATTTTCTAATTTTAATTGCATGTACATTTACATGTATCATACATGTAAATGATAATCCTAATTTGTTTGTTAGCGACTTAGCATTTTAATGATTCCTCACTAAGAATAATAGTGCATATGCACATATATGACATGTAGTGTTGATTTTGATACTGTTTTCTGTTCTCTCTTTCACTTTATAAAGAGGAACAGGCTGAGCTCCAAAAGACATTGTCTTATTTGGAATCAAAGTTTATAGTGGGAGGTGTCAATTTGGTACGTATACACATGTGTGCAGTGTTCATGTACATGTACATCTTGTGCATGTACTGATATCTGACTTGTTCATTTCTTTGTGTATGTACATGTACCTGTATGTGTTCAGCTTGAGTAGATTGAGAAACAATTAGAAAGTCAAGTTAGAAAAGTCA